GTATAATAAATAATAAATACCCTGGGCACATGATTGCTTATATATTTTCGATAAGCACATACATACGTAAACGTAACAAAAAACATAACGATCTCAAACATATGTTCATTTGTACATACATAAAATTCATTTTCAATGGAAACGATAATAAAAACGATTAGATAAAAAAAAAAATGATTTAAAACATAAAAATTCAAAGGTCACTAGAGTATAACGATTACAACAAAAATATATTTATGTATGAAAAATAAATAACACGATGTTAACAAATAAAATATACTTAGGCGAGAACAATGGAAGTAGAAACGATCATTGAATTAAATTAAGACAACGCAACATTTACGATATGATTCCGATAACAATTTGTAAAACAATTATGTTATAAACTGTGTTTGAATAAAATTAAATTATGTATGATATTAGATACTCATTTTTTTATAGGTATACACTAAAAGAGCTTAAAATTCACACGCATGATTAAATGCACATTTTTTTTTCTTGTTTTTCTTGTGATTTTAATTTAGAATTAATCACGAACTTTAATGAATGGATTTTTTTTTTATACCTACTACTATATCGCAGTTTTAAACTGTTATCAAATTTATCGTATATTTGTAAAATTAAAATATTTTTAAAGTTTAAGAAAATTATGCTGATCGTAATTTATTTTACAGCTATGTGCTGTTATACTTGATGCCGAAACGAGTTTTTTAAGCAAAATATTTTATTGTTATTATTTTTGAAAAATTTTAATAACGTGCTGCATTTAAAGTTCATGATTATTAATTTAAACTTTGACGTGTAAAAATGTTTTTTTTTTTTTTGGTTTTTGTTTTATTTTGAATATTAAAGAACAATGTCAAGGTGATCGTTATGATCGTTTTGTTTTGGGTTTAAAAATAAATTTGATTTTTTTTTTGTTATACATGAATTGAGAAATATAAAAATAAAATGATTTTTTATTGATAAATTTTTGATTTGAATAGTTTTAATTAATTGGTTTTTTATTTTGAAATTTTTGATTAATATTAAATTGAATATTCTAATAATTTTATTTAATGAAAATCTGAGCTAAATTAATAATGAAAATTTCGATTACTTGTGATTTTATAGTGATTTCGTCGAGTTGATTATTATGTATTTTAAATATTGGTTTGATTTCGAAAATTTTGCCTTTTAAAACATATAAATAAACTTCTGATTCGCAGTTACAACAGGTTGTATTACATACAATATGTTTGATATTGTATGATGGCCTCAATTTTAGTATATCGAGTTATTTTAAAGCTCTGACAGACAAGCAGATTTTAATTTTATGCAAATTAATTTCACTTAGACAAATAAACTATTTGAAATTACTAAATTGTAAACAGTTTGTAAAAAAATTTCAAAATGTTTGATTTCTTAATTCCATGCGCTTATACAGTTGCAAGTGTGCGTTCTACAATGTATAAACCTATGGAATACAAATGAACAATCAAACAGTTGCAAAAGTATAAATTGCATGTCTGTCTTAGCCCTTATATCTTAGTTTCGAACTAAAACTATTTGTCAAAAATTTTATATGTGTAAATTTTTTTATATGGGTTTTTATTTAAAAATAAAATGAATTAAGTAATCAACTTTTGAATAAGGTTAGAGCCAATAAGATGAAGATTTATACATCTAATTGCAAGAAAGATACTCGAATATACGAAAAGGGTAGGTCTCGAAGAAACACTTTAAGCATGATAGGTGAAAGGGGGCACAGTGGATTCATTTCTTGGGTCGTGGTGCATTGTTACGTCATGTCTAATCAAAGATAATAATGAAAAGATTTTCTTGAACTTAATAAAAGATTATCAATTTTTAAATTTTAACACAAAATATTTCCATTTTTCTAATAACAACGAAGACAACATTAATGTTAGTTGATTCAATTGTTAGTATATGCAATGTCGTTTAATAATTATATGGAATATGGCCGATTACCTGGGCCTGCCCTATTGCTTCAATCACTTATACTTTTACTATTTAACTTTTAAGGACAAGTACTTTTTTATAAGCATAATTCATTAAAGGATTTTGACTCTTGACGTAACAGAAATTTGCAATTTTTTTTACAGGGCTCTGCTAGTCGATTTTTACTTTCAAAGTTATAAGTAATATTATGAAAACTTTGTTTAAAATTTCCTCGTTAATTCCATTTTACTTTTATATTTAATTTAATTTGAGCAAATAATGCAATTGATTTAAAACAATGGCATTTGGCTGTTAATGCCATATAAAACTAATTTTATAAGCTCGATGGATACACCAAATTATACACATAATACATAAATTATTTCTCTCAATAATTCTAAATAATATTCCTAAGTATTACAAAATTTTTGTGGCACGTATACTAAACACAATCCATACATAATCCATACATATAACATTATAGTATATAAGTATGTTAATTTAATAATTAATAATTGAACTTTATAATTTGAAAACCAGTTATAATCTGTATAATATAATTAATTTTATATACTTATAGTTTATTGATAATTATGTAATAAAGTATGTGCCTACATGAGTCGAATCACCGCGTTCATATTAATAAAATAATTAAAAGTATTTTATTATAATATAATTTTAATTTTTATAAAAGATTATAGTTAAAAGTGTGTTGTTTGCCACCGATATTAAATACTTATAAAATTTTAGTTTATAATTAAAATTAAAAAAAAAAAATAATAATAATAGAGTGGAAAATTACAACAATAATAATTTATTAATAATTTAAATTGCAAATATTTTTTAAAGTATAATTCTAGTTTTTTTTTAATTGTGAGTTCTAAGAATTTTATTATATATATAGGTACGAGTATAATAATAAATTGCATTATTTGCAATGTAAAACCACTGAGTATATAAGTATATGCGAAATAAAATTTTTGAGGTTTTCAAATAATAAAAAAATACAAAAATTTGTTGTTAAAACTGATTTTCAATTTCTTAAATATTAAAAACTATTTCTAAATTTACATTGTACATTTAATACGATAGTGTGTATAGGGTGATTTTAATTAACGAATATTCACGCTAAAATCATATACGTAATTTTTATTTGGACTAATCAATTAAGGGGCTCAAAAGCAAAGTGGCCTACCATTCACAAAATTTTTGCTTTTTAGTTAAAAATTTATATAAAATTATATGTAAAAATAATAATGTCTTCACAAAAATAAATATTTAATATCGCATTTATCTCGGTAAAAAAATTTTTACGGGTTATTTCATTTTACTTCTGAGCCCCTCAATTAATGATTGCTATTTAAATTTTTTACGTATACACATAATTTCACGTAGTTGTACAGGTCACTATTATAAAGAGTGTATATTCCAAAAGGTCAAAGTCGAATTATTTTTTTTGGATATTTTGGCTAGGATATTCATCGCCCCCTATCACTTGTTTTAACTAGTATATATATTTTACAATTATGCTATATGTATAGCTCTAAAGTTTTCTCATTTAATGTGGTTAACAGTAATTTTAAATTGTGGTTTTAAAAAAATTTTTCAATAACAAAAGCTTATAATAATTTATAGTATTATTTTTGCATTTGTTCTATTTAAAATATTAATGAAATTGAATAACATAATGCCGATTTGTTTGCTAAAGTGATATAACTCAAAAAATACAATTTTCGAGTTATTTATGTAGAAATAAGTTAATTCAAAAAATTTCTTTTTAATGGAAAAATGCGATTTTACTAGCATGCAAGTTATCGCTTACAATAAATTATAAAATTTTCCTATAACGAGAAAAAATTTTTTGCTCCCGAACTTTGAGCTATAATATGTCAAATATATTCGCAAATTTTAAGCTATGTAAGTGCTACAGCAAACAAGCGAGTAAAACACAAAAAAAAAAAATAATAATATAATTGAAATTAATGCATTTGTAAGTCTGTATAGTCTAAGTCTCATAAATTATATTTTATGACTCATAAATTTTAACGCGCTTAAATATACCAATTAAAATTAAGATTATAACCTTGAAAATAAAACTATGTAATTCGTATTAACTATTGTGATTTAAATATTAATTGTAAATATTATGGAATTTTGTTCATTTGATAAGAATTAGTTATAAATAAGGCTTGCATTTTTAAATATACACCAATATGGTACCAATACTGACAGTTTATAGCAGTATTATAAAAGCAAATTTAAGAATATTGAAAAAGTTTTGTTTGTTTTTGTCTGCAATAATATTGTTTAAGGCCTTTTGTCACAAAGTACTCACATAGAGGATGCATTTTAATAAGTAATTCATGCTATTCTGAAAATTGAACTGAAATTTGTGTACTTATATAAGAATTTTGAATAAACGCATTCTTCAAAATTGCAGCAATAAAACACGCGATATTACAACTTTAATTTAACAATCAAAATTCATACAAGCAGAATTTTATATATTACTTGCTGCATTACAGATTGTTTACAACATTTAATTATATTTATGACTTTTAAATTATAGAACTCCTTCAAAACAGTAGGACTAATATAGTATAACTATTTTAGTATAACATTTCAATTTCTTCATAACAATAAATCTTATCAATACTAATTAAGACACTATTTTTCTTTTTAAGAAATTAAAATTTAGACTTTAGACTATATAATAATATTATTCTAGTTACTATAATAAAGACTCTTTAATAAAAATAGAACTTTGAATGAATAAAAATTAACATTGCGATAATTATTATTGATAACTTTTTTATTTTTAAATTTTCTTATCATTAATTTGATTTGTGATTTAAGCCGATAGACTTATTATGACTCAATTGCCATTATATTTTATAGTAAATAATATTATTAATTTATAGGGACCTATGGAAATTTTTTTCCCTCTTTTCTACTAGCACATAGTAACATAAATTATAAGACTTTTGGGTTTCTATGCAAATATATTTTAATTTTATTATTAAATTTGGAATTAATTAATTTAATAAAATTAAACTTACCATCACATGATGGTGGTTCCTTTTCCAATTTTTTAAAAAATAAATCTCTTAGTGTTTCAATTTGTTCTAGTGTTGGCGTAGGTTCTGGCATTTTATTTTCTTCTCTTAATTTTTAATTTGGTTTGTATTTTTTTATATCACTTTTATTTTTCTAATTTTATAATTTCATAGAAATTATAAATTAATTATAAATATTTTTTAATTGTAATTAATTAATTATTTTTTATTTTAATTAATAATAATTGTATTTAATTATTATAATCTTAGAATATATGATTTTAGAATTATCAGCACTTAACGGTGAATTATTAATTATTTTTGTTTTCTTTTTTCAATTTTTTCTATTTTTCTATTGGAATGAAATTATTTTTAAAAACAACCAATTAGTTTAGTTGTGTTCCACAGACTGATTGAATTTTGTAATATTTTTGTTGTATATTTAAAATTAAATCACAAAATGAGAAAAATAAGAACACAAAAAAAAAAATGTAATAGTAAAATCAAAATGATATCTTATCAAGAATTAATTCACATAACGGCAATTTAACACGTGCTCAATAAGTTGATTTTTTGGAGAAAAAATTTTTTTTTTGCTGGAAATAAAAAATAATAATGAAAATAAAAAAAATATAAGAATGTTACAAATTTCTCTCTTTGCAATGAAAATCACATATGATTTTTAGAAGTTTTGAGTGTGTTTGTTAAATTATAACAGTCTACATATTTGTATATAGGTACATAATGTATATAGAATAAGATCTATTCAAATATGTACATATGTATGTATGTGGAGTAAATACATATATATATAATAAATTTTAGGTATGAATTATATTATATTATGCGTAACCAGTGTTCCCACTCGGTAAAAATAAAATGTATCCAATTTCGAGAAAAAAATGTATCCAAAATGTATCCAGGCTCCTGAAGTAGAATTTTTATACTAACTCGTCTTATGTATTTTGTACAAATAAACTCACAATTAATATTAATTTGCTTTTTTTAATAATCTGAGTTTTATTATTTATAGTAAATTCTTTAAGAAATCAAACGCAACTTCTATTGCATTTTAAATGGTTTACACCAAAATATTTCTGGTACGTTCTTGTTTTAATGTTCTAGATTTAAATACAAAAAGAGGAGGTAACTCATTTAATAAAATATTTTTCTTACTTTCTTCTAACAAATTTTTAAATATGCTCAGTAAAGCCAGCAAATAATATTTTTTCGAAGATAAAGCAATTTCGCGATTTAAAATTATCAGTACTTTAACAGTTTTGTAATATTTATTTAGTGTTGGGAGAAAGAAATGTATTCAAATTTCAACAATATTTTAAAATGTAGCCAATTTTGGCATTTTAGCAAATTTGAGTTTCTTTGTATTCACGCTAAATTTAAAGCAAAAAATGTATTGAAATGGATACAATTGTATCCATGTGGGAACTCTGTGCGTAACATTATTTTAAATGTTTTATTATGATTTTAAAAAATTTTTTTTAACCCTAGATTCACAATGTAAAACAATTCAGAATGCTACCGCAATGCAAAACAGAAACATTTGAACTATTGCAAATTGTAATTTTATCACAATACAAAATTATAGCGCAACTTAACGTCAAGCTCAATTTAACAAAATTTTAACTTTATATTAAAATGTAAATGATAATTTTTTTTTATCTTGCTGGGAAAACAATTGAAATTTCATTAAATTTATATTGTGCACTTGGAACTATTTTACGAAGTTATTTTGCATAATGCAATTCGCAATTAAAAAATATGGTTATCAGATTTTTATATGTATATTGTGTTCTCAACGCAAAATTAAATTAGCTTTGCGTTAAAATAGTAAGTAATTGCGTATAAATTGTTTACATTCTATTGTGAACAAATCAAGAGAATGACTGATATGACTAAAGTTTATACGTGTAAATAGTAGCAAAATTAGTGTTTAATACCAAAAAAGGATTTTTTTCTAATATTTAAGAGTCCTTTTATACATTTAATTAAATATTAGAAAGCAAAATTATATTAAAAACAAAAAAAAAATGAAATTAAATTATATTCTGCAATAGGGTTAAGAGCTACATAAATACATAACTACATAAATACATAAAAGCTACATAAAACAACAACTTCTCATTTAATCAATTCTCTTAATTTACGGTAAAACAAAAGTCTCCATATTTTATTTTATATAAATGCAAGTACGTATATGAATATGTATGTATGTATGTACATAAAATTTATATTAGCTAGAAGTGAGGCTTTGACCTTTAAAAATTTTGTATATATGCAGTTTGCAGTAAATTTTTCTTGAATTTTTAGTATTTAACAACGTATGACACACAATACAATACTTATAGTGTTTAATTATTATCGAATGAGTATAATGCAGAATTTCTTATGGTAATTTAATTGTTGAATAAATTTTAGGAAAAAAATTTTTTTTCCGAATTAACAGTTAGTGCTCAAAATTAAAGCTTATTACATACAATGTATTACAAGATCATGATTACTCGGTTAATATTTTTCTGTGTTTTTGCTTAAGGTAATAATTGTGCATAGTTCACTTGTATATTTTAATACAAAACTATTGTGTTTTTAAATTAAATTGTGTTATACATAAAATTTCCTGTAAATATGAAAATGAATAATATATTAAGAGAATAATAGGCAATTTTTTTAAAGAATGTTTTTGCGTTTTGGGTTAATCAGTTTCTTCAGCTGCTTATTAACAAGCTTACAAGCTTATAATATGATTAATATAATATGCATTTCTATAAAAATTCTAGTAAGTGCCTATACCTATTCTGAATTAATATTAAAAATTCTTGTAATTCTATCTAAGTATACGTGTGCATTTTAATTGCTATAAAAATATTTAAAAAATTTTTCTATTATATTAATTAAAGTTTAGGTTAAGGTTTATTAAAACTAAATGTGTATATACATAGTTCTAAAATCTAAGTACCTATACAAATAATATTAACAATAACCATTATTAAGTAATATGAGAATTTTAATAAATAAGCAAATTTTATTTTTAATAAAGGTTTTAATGAAATAATCAGTATATTTATCACATAAGCATTTTAATTAAAAAAAATTTCATAATTTTAATTTTAAAAATTTTCATCACATATGACATAATGTTCATTAGTAAATTATGAAATTTTACTATATATACAGCTACTATATAACTATATTTAATTTTAAATTTAAAAAAATTACACAATGAATTTTTTTTTTTCACAATTTTCATACAATAATAATTAACAATATTATAATGACTTGTATATTTTATAAATGGGTAAAATTTGAAAAAAAAAATCATATTGCTAATAATGAAATTAAAATTGGTTAAGGGCTACAATTACAAAGAATTTTTTTTTTTTTGTATTAAAAACACTAAATCTTGCTTTTTATTTTGGAATATTTTCCATACAAAAGATGAATGCTAAGAATTATGTAAATATATTGTATATTTTTAATAAAAAGATGACTTGAGAACTACATTAAATTTAAATAGAATTAGAATTTTTTTTTTATTATTATTTAAAATGCAAATAAAATTGAATTGAGATTAAAGTATAGTTTGTTCTATTTATTATTACTGTACTGTGTAGTGAGAATCTCTAATATCTAATACTTAATATTAAATTCAATTTAAATATAATTTAAATATAGAATTTTAAATTTTATAAAAAATTTCATTGTACATATATCATCAAATATAATGCAAGTAAATTCAAAAATTGTTGTACCAATAGATGTAATATTAAAATTTTCCAAAGAATTACAATAGTACTAAGATTTACTACACACAATAAATACTTTCATTTCATCTTAGCTCTAAGATTGGCAAATATTCATTATTAATATAGCATTTAATTTACTACTACATTTATTAGAAGTATTTAACATACTACTTTTATGCTTATAATACACAATATTTAAAATTCATTTTGTAAAAACTATTCTCTTAGACTTAGACTACTCGATTACCTTTGATTACATTAATTACGCTTTTTTTTCTTTTGCAAAATTTTCATCTTTCACAATACAAAATTATTGATATTTATACAAAAACATTACCGAGATGCCTAATGTAAATATAATTTTCTTATAAAATATTTATAAGGAAATCATTAAATTCTTCAATTTAGAAATAATATTATAAGTAATAATAAAAATAATTTTCATTAAGTACTTGTAATATTTTATAAAATGATGTTATAATTTATTAACAGAAAAAAAGAATTAACAATTTAATTTCGCATAGTAAAAAATTTCAACACTTATTATTACAAATTAATATTGTACGCACGAAATTTAAAAAAATAAAAATTTAATAATATTAATAACAATAATGTTGCTTAAATGCGATGGTACGCAACAATTACTTAATAATTATTTATTAGAAGAGAGAAATGATGGCAGTAAAATTACCATGACAATTTGCAAGAATGTGCATATGAAATAAGAGCAAAATGATGAATAATGTTAATAAACATAATAATGCAATAATTATTAAATATACTTAATAGAGATTTAAATTGTCCTGCAAGTATATAATTGTGATTTTAAGAATTTAATTGAAAATCATAACATAGAATAGTAAGTTTTGTACAAATTTGTGATTAAGAATGAAATTATTGTTATTAATGCTCCGTTGTTATTGTTATTATTGTTGTTTGAATTATTATTGTTATTATTTGCTATTCATAATTATTTAGAATAGTTTCATAAAATCTATAGTTCGTGCAAATGCAGCAATAATTACACTATCATAAGCGCATCATATTAAATTAAATGAGTGAGTTTGTAATTAAAATCTGTACAAGTAGGTATCAATTTTTTATTTGTTTTCTTGTTATTACTGGATACAAAATGTTATTATTTGTAACATGTTATAAGAATTTTGAAATTTATTTCCATTTATATAATTTTTTGTGAATATTATGAATTTATTTAATAAAATTATTTTGAATATTATGAATTTTATATATAGAATTGAAGATGTTATAAATAATAAAACAATTAAGTAGAACATTCATGCATCCAAAAATAATGAATTTTTTTATTCATATTTTCTTTACATACAATTAATTTGCAGTTTTATTTAATCAATAATTTGATATTTTATTCTGTTTCAAAATGAAAAATATCATTAAAAAAACTAGTTTTGAAATACATACATGCATTTTATTTATATATATGTATATTAGACAATAATAATGCAAAAATCAGATTTTTAGCAATAATTTTAACAATCAAATTACTTTAAATCCAAGCAGTGCAGTGAAGATTTTCGATAATTTAGCTGATATGCACTCAAATTTTTAAATTTTAATTTTTTTTTTGCATCATTACAGATCTATGGAAACTAACTACATATGTGCTTTGCTTTCTAAGATTTTTAATACCTTACATTTTTCTATGTGATTATTTTTTTTTAATTTTTGAATATTTTTGCAGCGCTTTTTACAAAATGCAATTTTTAAAAATGCTTTAGAATTTTAATTTTGCTACTATTTTCAAACATGTACTTCTTTTAATATTAGAGATTATCGAACAAGTTTAGAATTGAATTTCGAAAATATTTAAAAATATTTTATTTTTTATTTAAAATGAAATTATGTAGATCACTTTCAAAGTTTTAAACCATCCCATTCATTTAAGAAAATTATTGTATAAAAAAATTTGGAATTTAATTAGAATTTTTATGGAAAATATTCTTTTTTCCTAAGTCATTATCAATTTAATTTATTTAATTTAATATAATAATATAGTAATCATAAAATTAGAATAATTCAGAAAATATTTTTAAAATTACGAAAAAATTCAAAACCTAAAATACAATTTAATAAATTAAAAATAAAATAACAAGTGTACAAAATGTTAAGTTTTTAAATTTTCTCATATGCATGTTATATTTTAAGCAAATAATATTATATATATATATATACTAAACTGTTATACATATTGCGTATATATACAATAGTAGATCATCATATTATTATGCCCACATCTATTTTCATGAATGAATAAATGCACTTAATTTAAAATACATAATAATTTTTTGTTTTCAAAATTTTTATAGTAAAAAAAAACATTGTAACTATTTACGTATACATACATACATATATACAAACATAGAATTTTACGTACCATAATTGTATGTAAAAATATATTTTGTATAATAATAATAATTTTATTTTATTTTTATATGAAAAAGCATCCATATACATAAATACTACAATTATTATTATTTTATTACCCCTATGTTATTGTTATACAAACAATATTAACAATATTAATTGATCATATTGGTGTTGTATACTAGTTTAATGCACTTTATTAATATATTAAACTAAAAATTTGAATTTAGAATATTCTTTTTTTTTTTAAATTCTTACTATATTATTTTCTTATTTTATTTTTCTGTATTAATTTCGCAAAGAAAAAAATGAAGAAAATTCTAAAATATTTTCTATTTAATAATAATTGCTTTAATATAGCGCAACGCGCACGTCTTTTCAATACTAGTGCTGATCTCTAACTAAACTTAAATGAAAAAAAAACCAAAAAAAATAAACAAATCTTTTTTATCTCCCCTATTTGTTGGAGTTCAAAATCGGCATAAAAAAAAAACTAAAAGAATAACAAAATATATAGTTTATATATATATATTTAAATATATAAAATATAAATAAAAAATAAGAAAACTAAAAATAAATAAAAATTTTGAAAATAAGAGGAAAAAATTTATAAAATAATAAAACTAACAATGTATAACAATAGTATAACAAAATAAAAATAAAAATAAAATATAAAAGTCAGTCAGTCAATCGGTCTTTTATTGCTCGACTCGACTCGACAATATAATCTCTATGTACATAGTATTTAATACTATTATGAGTATATGAATATGGCACTATTCTATTTGTATATAAGTAATTGTAAAATTTACAATTTGTTACTTTGAATTAGTTCAAGTCCAAAACAAAGTACCGTACCATATATGTATATTCTATAGAATATATAGGAAATTTATATAGATTTATGTATAGGCCTTACAAATAACAAGATTATTATTATATCAAGCATATAAGAGATTTAATTTATTTGTTTTTTTTTTTATATTGTATTTCTGTTTATACTAGAAGAAACAAGTGGAAACTATTAATTTCCATTTAGAATATATTATTAATATTTTAGTACTTTAGTATCTATGAATATAATTATGTATATGTATACATGTGATTGTATGCAAAAAAAAATTTTTTGTTTATATTTTTGTTTTGATATTCCAGACTACAATGAATAATGATATTTTTCTAAATAAAATCGACAAATAAATTAAATATAGCAGGTACATACATACATATGTATGTATCTGTACAAATTTTATGATATTTATAAATTTTATAATTACCGACAATATTAAGATATAATCCTCCTGATAGTTTTATTGAAATGATTTGATTTGATATTAAAAAAGAGGTCAGATGTCACCGGCAATATAACTGACCGCATTTTTAAAGTTTTGTCATTTTAAAAATTTATTTCTTATTCTATTAAGGAGGCTCTAGTTAATGTACTTAGCTAGAAAAATATAAAGTTGGCCCTTATTAATGATTAATATTCATTGATCCGATTTCCATGCAAAGTTTTTCAGTTCATTTCTTTAACAACCAGAATTCAAGTATTATATTACAAAAAATTTCATCAATTAGTTTCCGAGATATGATCAAAGATGAAAAATCAGCCCTTAGTAAAAGTTTTGTTTCCGGGCTCTGATAATCCTGAAAAATTTATTGGTAATTTATTTTAATAATCAGATTTTAATTATGAAATATCAAGTAAATTACTGGGTTAATTTGTCTTTATAAGAGCAAAAATGCAAATTCAGGCAGTAGCAAAAGTCCATTTGTTAATTTCCTCAAAAATTTAGGTTACTTATATTGTCAGACAGGAGTTTATATATAAAATTTTAGAATTAGAAGCGCTGATTACTTTCCTAAAGATAGCCGGAAAATTAAAATAAGTTCGTTGTGAAGATTCAGTCCCAGAGACCCGAAATATCCCAAAAGTTTGTTAAACCGTCTCAGCCACAAAATAAACCCAGCTATAAATTTTCCTTAAAAATCGATTCAGCCAAACTTGAGGTACAGATCCTTACAGACATATTGACAGACAGACATACTAATAAACATCTCTTTTAAAATTATTTTATTTACGATTCCCTTGCATGAAGAAGCGCACTTTCGTTGAAAACTCTGTGAAATTATAGGACTTCATATAACTTCCTTTATTGTATGCAATTTGGTCACAAAAAAAATAACATTTTCAAAAATTATAATACCCACAAAATATTTTATTTTATATTATGTAATCTTAGAAGTAAAAGCTTTAATATAAATATTGTGTATCAATGTAAATCTATCTAAAAAATGCATTTATATATTATGTTCTACACAAAAATATAATACATTAAAAGTACGTCAAAAAATTTTGGTACTTCTCTCTGCAAATAAGCATTTTATAAAGAAGTGACTGTAAAAACTAGAGATCTACATCACATATTGGCTATAATACATACTTTGGTGAGTTCAAATATTAAAAAGATAGGAAGAAAAAATTTATTATTTATAATATTATGATGAAAGAAAAAAAATTATTCTTGTGTGAGCGTTTCTAATGATGATGTAATAAATTTTTTATTATTTTCAATGAATCATTTAAAAGAAACAACAAGAAATAATTTTTGGTAGAAACGATCATGGTAGAAAATGAAATTTGATGCAGAAAATTTTTATTTTTCGAGGTATAACTAATAAGTTTTGCAATTTTTAATGTTTTCAAATGCTGAAAAAACTAATTTTTGTCATATTATTATTTTTTGTTTTATTTTTTGCTTATGTAAGGGTAATGGAGTAAACAGCTTTGTATTTAAAACGATTTATAAATTTATGCTTTACTATTAATTCAAATACAAAAAAGGCACGTTCTTATAACTCATATTTTCCAATTAAATTATGATTAAACATTTATTTCATCCTTAAATTTTCGTTGTACAGCTTCTAAATTTCAATTACTTTTAATAAAGTTAAGTAAATTAAATTAAACTAAGTAAGTATCCAAAATTTAGTAAGTAAAATTAAAAATATAATTTTTAAAAATGCTAAATAAAATTAGAAATAAATTTTCCATAATCAATTAATTTTATTATTATGTCCTCAAAAAATATACAATTATAAATTATCCTAATTTCTCTTAGTATCTTCGGAATTGCTTTTTGAATTTATCGTAATGATAATCATCAGTTGCTTTTTTCTGTCCAGCTGGTTTTTCAGCATCTACAATAGTATTTATTTTTTTCTTTTTTGGTGGTTCAGATTCTTCTATGTTAACTAAAATAACAAAATTAAAATTTTAAATAAACATAATAGCATATTATCTTAGTTTTAAATGTAAATCTTTTAATTTATAAAATATCACTTACATCGATTATGCTGCATAAAATTTACAGCCATATTAGTTGGAACAAATTGTGATGGACCATCTTTTTTATTACGTTGATCTTGTACTAATTTACGTTTTGCTTCTTCTGTTGCTTCAATATTTTTTATTTTAGCTTCAATACCTAAATCAACTTCTGGAATACCATTAAGCATTTGATTTGATAACATTTCTTCTGAACGATTTGTTGAACTTTGTCTTAAATGATCTGGTAAAGCATAAAGAGCAGCATCTTCTGGTGATAAATATTTTTGATTATCATCACCACCATCTTTAAAATCATCTGTTTTAACTCCTTTTCTTTTTTTAAGTTGTTGTTCAATATATTTCATCATTTCTTCATCTTCATCACGTTTATTTGTTTCTGCCGAAAACTGAGTTCCTATACCAACATCGTATGCATCATCAACGGTTTCTTTTATTTTGCCCGATTTTAAAGCTTGCATATTAACCATTCCACCAGTTTTTGCATTGAAAGGATCTTTCTAATGTTTAATATTTTGTTAACAGATTAATTTCGATTAAGTTTAGTTTTTAATATGGGAGGCAATTAGTAAATGGTAAATGAAATCAAATTTCGTACTACAAGAACTACGAAAAGAACTAAAGTGTGACTAAAATTCAAAATTTTTTTCTTACTTAAATACGTGCATTAATCTAAATGAAAATTAAGGATGGTGGAAATTGTTTTTAAAATGTTCTAAGGCTTTGTTTGCTTTGATTGCGTTAAACGGATATACAGAAAGTAGTATGGGAGGTAGGAGAGAAACAATAAAAATTTTATTTACTCACTATAGTTAATTCTTCTTCTGGACCCAACTTCTTTCCTATAGCTAAACCAATTATACTAACACCATGCGGTCGCGTTCTTAATTTTTGCCTTTCTTTTGTTTCGGAGAGCTTAGATCTAAAATAAATAATTAATGAATTTTAATTCAACCATATTTTTCATTATAATTTGCTATCATACAATATTTCTAAACTGTTATCTTCTTCCGATTTTTCATCTTCCTCTTCTGAATGCCTTCTTTGACGCAAATTTTTTTTAATTTTTCTCTTAAAAATTATTTTCTGCTCAGAATTACTACTTGAATTTTCGTCCTCTGACATCTTATATGCTTAGATTTAATTAAACTAAACAATATATTTCCAACAGCAAGATATTGTGGATATAGCAACGCTTGAAATGAATACAACTCCAAATGTTACTGGAATAGCAAAAGCTAAATTTATAGGACCAAAAAATTTGTCTATCAAGTTATCTGTAACAGAAATATTTAACATTAAACTTTTGATATTATTGTGTGGTTTGATATCAAATAAATATGTATTTACCGTCTTCAACTAATATAAATGGAGAAAAAATCCATGCAACATAATATAAAAATATTAAAATTATCACTGACAAAACCAATTTCCCATCCAGTCCAAAGAAATAAACCATCACACAATTTTTTTTAATGAAATATAAAACGTGAACATAAATAAAACTTTTATTTTCAATTTGGAAACAATTTCTTATTTATGTATTTTTTGAATTATTTGCATTATCTACGACTTTGACAGTTTTCTTGATAATTGTGAATGATGATATATTTTGTAGTTCTAATGTCAGCACTGTCGCAAATATATAAATTTAATGCATCGTGAATATTCACAATAGAGACACAATCAATCCCCGTCTATCAAAATAAAAGATCTGGAATCAATTTGACGTTCTTAATTTTTCGGTACAATGTGAAGTTTTTAATAAATGAAGTATGCATTGGAAAAACAATTTGAGAGAAACATAAAAATGTGAGTGGAAAATTACTTTTTTTTTTGTAATTAAAGGTAAACAGCTGAATAGAGTAGAATTGCCAGTCTAAAAAAAAGTAGATTGCATATTCTCCCAGTATTCATATATTTTGCAGTTTTGGTATACGTCCATTGGGTCCATAGATAATAAATAACTGGATATCTGTCATTTATGATTGGGTCCAAAAATATAATTTGGAGAACCTTGAATTTAAACTTAAAATAACATTTTCGGTTCACGATTATTAAAAAATTGCATTTTCCTTTAATTTTATACAAAGGTTAGTAGCGTCATCTATTAATCAAATTAGATATTAAAATTTGTTTGCAATGGGACAATTGAAATATTACAGAAAAGTAATTTAAAAAAAACAAGACTTTTCCTTTACTTTATTAAGGAAAGGGAAAAAATTTTTTAAGTGTTTATTTTTAATAAAATATGAAAATGTATAAAACCAACCATAAAAATTTTTTATTATAAATAAATTACAAATTAAAATAATAATATAGAAGTTTTGTAAATTTGTTCTGCAGTAGCTCTAATTAATCAAAATGCTGTTTATGCTTAGTAAATTTTTCACTGGAATTCAAAACTGATCGATTTTCAATAATTTAGTTCTAACTTAGATCTTAATATTCAATAAACCCAAACTGCAAAATCTGCAAAAACAGCATGTTGAAAATTGTACTTGTGCTTCTAAAAGTTCTAAAAGATTTTTTAAAAAATACATGATTGTAATTTACAAATCTGTGATCTGTGATGCGAAAAATATTTTTCTAATTGATTAATTAAATGGTAAGGCTATATGGAATTCAATCAACATTAAAGTTCTTAGACCCACTCAATGATTTTTTTTCCTAATAAAAAAATATTGTTAAATCTATTCTTATTGATCTTCAAATGTAATATACAAAAGTTTAGCTTTGGGTACGCCAACGCTACCATTAACATTTTTAAATTTTTATTGTATTTAATTAAAAAGATTTAATTTTGTTGGAGTTGAAATATATATATTATGTTTGCATATACATATATATATTAAAAACCAATTTAAAATAATATTTTATTAATAAATTTCAATATAACATAAATGAGTTTTGAAATAATATTATAATAATATAGGTAATATTAATATTAACTTATAAAATAGATACAATAATAATATTCTTATTTAATATTTATTATATAAATCTATAAAATACTTAATAAAATTTTTTGAACAATAAAATTCTTATTAAATATTGAAATTTTTTTTTTTTGTGTTTGTTTTTTTTTTTATTTTAGAAAATTTTATGCTAGATAAATTAAAACTTTGAATTTTTTATACAAATTTAAAATTAAAATATAAAAAATTTTTTTGTTTCTATTAAAGAATAATAATTTTAAAACTACCCATATATCTTATTTATTAAATATTTTTATAATTTTTAATATTAAAAAATTAAACAATTAAAATATGAAAATTTAGAAAAAAATATTGAAAATTTATTCGAATTTTATTAAATAAACAACAAACATATTATTTTGTAAAGAAAAATAAAATAGAGTGGTTTAAGAACAAAAGCTAAGTGATGTATAAACTAATGAGGCAGTATACAAATTTATTTAAATCTATATTACAAAAATTTTTCTTGTTCGAATACAAATAGAGGTAAGTATTTTAAGAAATAATTTATTATAATTGTATTATAATTGAAATAATAAAATTATTTAAAATTATTATATAAAACACATTATAGCATAAATATTTTCATAACAACAATATTGTTAAAATTTCTGTAATTGGCTGTTCTTTTCATTAATTAAATTATATGCAAGACGTGAGAGAGAGGAAGTAAATTGGCTAACTACTTGGCTTAACTGCTCGCTAGCAGCATTAAAGGGCTCTACTCTCACTCCTCTCTAACTATAATTACGTATGAATTGATTGAGTTATTTAATTTTAATTTTTATAATTTCTGATATATAAATCTTGACTAAGAATAGAATTAATATTAAAAATAATCATAGCCTTGTATAAATTTTTGGTATCTTAATGAAAATACCAAATATAATTCTTTTTAAAAGAAATTCCTCTAAAATTTCGAATATTTTTGGATTTAAAAAATGCTTAGAAATTTTTAAGCCAAACTCGAAATAGGACTGGATAATTTTTATTAATTTACATACAAATTAAAATTTAAAAATTAATTGAAATAATTAATTAACAAAAATTATAATTTATTTCTAAAATATTTTGTGTACCTTTGTAATATAGATTCCAATTTTGCAATGAAGAAGAGAGCAATTATATAAATCTTATTTTTGTTAAAATTATTGTAATTATTGTAATACATGATATTTTGAACTTTAAAAAAAAAAAATATTTTTATATAGAATTACGTAAGAAAGTATACATGAAAAACATCTGCGTATATATACATATTTTTTGTTTGTAAAATTTTAAAACGTATAAGAAATTATATAAAATTTTTTATTTAATTAAATTATTTAAAATATTATTATATGTACGTATAATATATTAAAAATTTTAATATAAATTTGAAAAATTTAAGTTTTAACTTATAAACTCTTAACTATTTCTTTTTTTTTTGTAATTTTAAAAACAATAATAAAATTTTTAAATTTTAAATTAATATTTTTTTTTTCATTTAATATAAAAATTACAAGATTTCTAAATTTATAATATTTGTGGACGTTTTTTTTTCTTAATAATTTTTCGATTTTTAAATTTATTATTAATTATTTTATTTTTAATTTATAAAAATTCAAATACATAATTATTTTATTTTAGAATATAATTTTATTTGTATTTTATAATTTATTATTAAAAAGTGTTCATAATAAATATTTTGCAAATTAATTAGCAAAAATTATTATTATTCGAATATTTGAATTAAAAAATTATTTTGAATGAATTAATAATAATAAAGGAAAAAAATTTTTACTAATATTTTACATAAAATTTTTAATATTTCTTTAAAATAAAAATTGATTCTTTTGGTTTTCTTCTTTTAGTTTAATAATGTGAACAAAGATAATTTTTAAAAATTATTATTATTATTATTATTATTATTTTTAGTTTTTTTAAATATTTTGAGATTTCTTTTTAAAACACATTAATTTTTTTTTTAAATTCATTCATTTATTTGAAAATAAAATAATATTTTTTTTGTTAAGAATGCAATTAATTTAAAATTAACTTTTAATATCTGATTACATTATTTGATTATTTTTGAATAATAAAATACAAAATTTTGTATTTTCATGAAAATATTAAAAAAATTTATAAAATTTATATTAGATTATTTGGTACTGTTTAAGCATCTCATACATAATATGTTAAAATTGTTTCTTTATTATATATATACGTTAGCACTAAATATATATAAAATTTTGAAAACAAATCAATATTTTAAAATAAATTATCATTCGCTTCTGTGGTATTACAAGCTTATTTAAAATTCTGTGGCAATATGGATATAAACGTGTTAAGCCAAAATTAATAATTATATTATTATGTAATTTCGAATTGATTAAAATATTAAAATTACTGCAATTTGTTTCGACTTTATAGAATATAGAAAGTCAACATTTCTATTCATAGTAATTTACTATTTTTTTAATTAAATACTATTTTCAATACTGTTATCGACCTGTTAATATTGAAATTTTTTTTAAATTTAAATAAATTTTCTAAGAAATTTGCATGTCTTTTCAAAAAACAAAATATTTGATTAATTTTTAAAAGTAATATTATTCTTAATTTGATTCGAGCCAACTAAGAATATTCCGATTTGAATTAAATCTTGTTGTATTATAAATTAAAATATTAAAAGAATTAATATATATTAATAATATAGTACCAACTACGGCAGGCTAGTCACCTACCTAGTTAAACTCTATGACGCTATGAAACTATTGCATGAGAAATCATGCACTAACCCTATGCTCCTTCTAGGAGTGAACAAAGGAACAAAAAAAAAAAAATATAGTACCAAATTGATTTTAATTGTTTTTCCCTATTGCCACAGAATTAATTTTTAAATATTTGTTTTGTTTTTACACATTACATATTATTTTTGTTCTCATTTTAGAAAATTACTTTATTCTAAATTATTATTACTTAAGTAATTTTATTTTGAATATTTTGTTGTGTTGAATTGCAAATTTTTGTAAAAAAATTTTCTTTTTGCTATTATATTAGAATTTTTATAAATTTAATAATTATTATTTCACTTAAACTACATAATAAAAAATATTTTATATAATTATAATTATTTCTATATTTAATATAAAAAAAAAATGTATAATATATAATATATTAGAAAACAATTTACAAAAGTCTTTCAAGGCAGCCTAAGCTTTTCATACAATTTTTTTATTACATTTATAGAATAAGACCTTCTTGTTACAAAATATTCTTAATTAATTAATTAATTAATATTTTTTATTATACAAATAGTTACTTTTATATATAATATATTTCTTAAAAAATTTATTACAATAAAAAAAAATCTAACTTAAATGTCTAGTAAAAAAAAACATATAAAAATTTTAATTTATTTAATTATAATTAATTATATTAAAATTTTACATAATTACATTTAATATTTTTATTTTAATTTTTTTTAATTTTTTGACTTAAAATTCGATTTCTAAAAAGAGAAAAAAGAGAAAGAGAAAATAATTTGTATAAAAATTTTAGAAATTTAGAAAAAAAAGAAAATAATTTAGAATAAAAAAAAAAATTGTTAGAAATTTTAATAAATTTAATAAAAGAAAATATTATTATTGCTATTAAATTAAAAACAAAAGTAATAAAAAAATTAACTTTTTTTAAAAATATTTTCGGTAACACTCAATTTTTATTTTTCTTTTTAAATAAAATTAAAAATTGTATTTAGAATTTTATTTACAGCCTCATACCTCGATATTTACTTATTGCTTTACATAAACAAAATGCTAAAAATATGGCCAATAATTGTACTATGGCAACACCTAAAGCAACAGCAATTATTATTATTCTATTTGATAATAACCATTCAACAACAGCATCGTAACATCCCTAAAAATTTAAGAAAAAAATTATTAACAAAAATAATGGAAATATATGCAATATAAAATTAATATATAAAAAAAATGTTCATCCTAAATTTATGCAATTTTTTTTTTTTTCTAAAATTTTAATTCTACACTTAAATGATATCTATGCAGTTACTTCATGAATAAAAAAGAATACCTTTTGGAAATAACTATTATCACTATGTGGACTTGTTGGACATTTTGGATCTTCTGGTATTATTTTTATCATATCTTTTAATACACAACATGCATCTGGTACTGTACGATTCTCTTTATATGTTTGCCATCCTTTTGAATATTCAAAATCACGATAATCATTAACACCACAACAATGTCTCTGTGCCATTATATTATTCCAAACTAATGTTACAGCATCAGTATGTTCTGTACTCGAATAATATTTACTTATGGTCGTTTGTAAGAATGTTTTTGTTTCAGATTTTGCCTAAAAATAATTAATTTTTATTGATTTAATTAATTTATTTTGAATTATTTTAATTTGTTTTTAATTGTTTTATATACCCTTTCTTTGTAGCCAAATGCTAATCCAGCAACTGATATTTCAGCAATAAGAATAATGATCATGAAAATTCCATACTAAAAAGAAAATTAATTTTATTTAATTATATTTTGAATTTTAAAATTAAAATTATTTTTAATTATTTATTAGAAAATTTACACTATCATGTATGGGGATTATTGTAATAAAATAAAAATGTTGGCCTCATCAGTGATTTTATAAAAAAAAAGTACATTATTAAAGTTGACAAAAGGGCCAATTGCAGAAATTGATCAAAGCAAAATCAAAATTTTAATTTTATTAATTCGAGCAAATATGCAGTTAAAAAAAATGAATCATAATGCCAATTATTGTAGTTCAGATGATTTGAGCCAAAGAATAGTGATGGTGATCATCATAATTAAGGGGTGGAACTATAACAAATATGAGAATGAAATAATGAAAAATTACGATATTTGCAAGTACAAATTGGATGTATGACTGTGATTCGTTTTTAAATGTTCATACAAATTAAAAATAAATTTAATAGAATTACAATATTTCCGATAACTAAAGAGCAATAAAACCATCTCCAATTAGGTAAAAATTTAATTACTTTATACATACGGCAGTATTAAGGTAGCTTAAACAATTCGTCACACAGCCCAAAATACTTACAATTTCGGTAAGATTATTGAAAAGGATGCTAGAATTTTGGTTCGAAAATATTAAATTTTTGTCATTCTTTACCTTTAATCGCTTAAATATTAACTGTTAATGAAAATATTATACTGCATATAAGCATAATATTTAGCAGTCAGTATAGTCCACATTCCTCAGTATTCCCTTGTTCAAGAAAAAATCTCAATAATTTTCCACCAACAAAAAAAAAAATAAAAAACCATAAAATAAATTTCCGCTTTATTAGCTTTTCATTTTAAATTTCCAAGTTTAAAAAAAAAAAACGTATAAAATACAATCGAAAGTTAAAAATGACTATTTAACTGTAACATTAAAATGAAATTAGGTATAGGCACTGTTAACTGGTTTTCGCTTTTTTCTATCCCCAGTTCTACCCCCTTTTAAACTAAAATTTTAATGTACTTATATCACATTATTGAATATTATGGGCTTTATTATTATTACTCATTTAAATTTTATATACAAGTACGTTTTTATTTTTTAAATAGTTTCTGAAATGCATGAATTGTCTCCCAAATTTGACTCAAAGCGCGCACCTGACCGTGACGCTTACAGTACTCATTATAAAATGAAAATAAATGGGGAAAAAGAAAAAGTAAAAAAGTGTTGTATAGGTGTACTTACCTTATAATATTATGGCATTTTAAATGCGTTTAAAAAATCAGGTTAGATTTGAAGAATTAAATGAATGGGGCTACGATCATTTTTGTGATTGGGTTTACGATGAAAGGAAAAGTTAATTGTGTTGAGTATAGAATGAATACCATATGTATAAGTTCACTTGTATTTTCACAATATTTGCCATATACAAGCAGAAGTTGTACATTGTTTTTAAATTGGTTATGGGAAAAAATTATTTTTTTTTGGATTATTTGTTAAAATTTAAAGAAACCTTTTAGTTAAAAATTGTTTTGGTGAATGGTTCTTTTCACTTGTTTTTGATTGCATATATCAGTTCTTATTTTATAATTTTATTTCATTTTAAGAATTGTTTTGGAGAAATTTTTCAAGACTACAAGGTTTCAGTTTTAATGTTAATGGATTCTTAGACAAAATATAGATGGCGCATATATGATTTTAAAGCTATAATATTATTTATAGTGAATTCAATTGCTCTTCATAATCATTCACAATAGTTCTGGTGGTATAAATAAAAATTATCAACAGTTTATAACAATTTTTATGTTTATAACAATCCATTAGAATTAATTAAATAAAATATATGGGTCCCGGTATAAGAGTCAGTTTTGCAACGAAAACATAGTACGATTTAAAACGAATATTACACACATCCAATTACTATAACAATTATCTAATTATTAGCTACCTAATATGTTCGGACTCATACACTACTGTGCCATTATTGATCTGAATTTCAATTTTCTCTTAAAGCCGCAAACTTTTGATATTGTGTGAGCGAAGATTTTGTTTAAAAAATAAGAATACTAAATATTGACCAGAGCGAGATACGGTTTTAACAAGATGAAAATGTACCTATAATTGCAACTAGTTAATTGTGGAAATAAATATTCAAAATCGAAGAATTATCACGAAAACATTTAAATTTTTGCATACTTTATAGAACAAAATACTAATTTAGCAAAGTAAGAACGTTCACTTATGATTCAATTTATGATTTGAACTTTATATATTGGAAATATTGTAGATTAAATCTGTATTGGAACTATTATATGCAAATTGTTCTTCTTTTAATAATTATTTGCTCATAAATTAATTTGGTATATCATAAGAATTTGAATTATTTTACATTTTTTAAAAATTAAAAACATATGCAAAACTTAAAAAATAGAGCCTTCATACTTATTTCAAATTTCTGATTAATTTACATAAAATTAAAATTACGTTAGTAAGATTAAATTTATTAGACATTAGACTATAAGATATGCATAAGATAGTAGAATTGAATTCATCAAAAAATATATATTCAATAATTTATTAACCCTTATCTATACTTGTACTTCTATAAGAAGAAAACAATAAAATTGCATTTAAGAGAAAAATTACAAGAGAACAATAATTGAATTGAACAAGTATAGTATTTGCTTTACTGTTATAACAGCAATTTTGTATTGAAATTAAATTATTATAATTTCTTATCATAGATGACGCAAAAAATCAAAAAGTCCAATAATACAGAATACGGACTCTTTCATAATCTCATAAATATTCACAAACCTTAATAATGCAAATTTTTTTAAAAATTTCAAATTTTATTTACAAAATAATCAAAAACTAATTTTTTTTTTTATCGATTCCGGGTTTATCTTTTAAATATTTTTCAATTAAATTCAAATTTTTATTAGATATCTTGATTATTACAATCAGCCATGTACATACATACATACATTGCATATATTATGTAGGGTTCATTAGTTTTCTTTTTTTGCTAATATAATTTCTAATGTACAAAGTCTCACTTTTAGAAATAAAATAATATTGTACTAAATGCATATACCATAGCACAAACTGTGCACGTAGCATTCCATTAAATAAAAAATTTTATTATTTTTAACATTGATATTTTATAAATTTTGAAGCCAATTGCATAGAGAGGGTAAACATACCTGTATGAATCCCAAAATAGTTGGTTTCTTATAAGCGCTGTATTTTAATATTAAATAGAAAACTCTTTGAATAAAATTAATGTACCTATGCTTGTGCATACTAACAAATTTTTCACATAAGTACTTATTTTGAATTTGTGATTAGGATAAAAATAATAATGATGGCAATGGCATTAGACAGTAAAATGTATTTTGTTATTTTACATTATACGTATAACGTAACAGTATATTCGCATGCATATTCACAATATTGAAAAACAAATTGTTAACGAATGTTTTAATGCGAGTAATGATGCGACGACACAGCGACAACACAACAGTAATGTAATTATATGAGTGAAACAATAGGAATAGCAACAATAATAACAATCGATTGTATGTTTTGCATTAACTTTAGAAAATTATCGATTATAGTTTTGAAAATAAATGATGGTAATGTTTTGCGATAATGATGTTTGGTATTTTGATAATGTTAAATGGTATAGTGATAATTGAAATTCAATTGAAGAAAAATTTTACGTAGTACTTAAAATGCATATTTTAAAATGAAATAGAAATGGAAATTCGAAATTCGAAAAATAATTTTTTAAAAGGGAAATTATTGAAGTTATTTGTGTGTTTGTATGTATATATAAAATTTATAATGTGAGAGTAAATTGTACAAGGCAATATTTTGCAAATATTGCGGTTAAATTTTAATGGTTGTGATTGAAGTTTTATAAAGAAATTGTTTTCTTATATTTAAATTCAATTTGTATGCTCAATTTGAAATTTTCACCATCAATATATAAAATATGCGGTTTCTAAATGATTGATAGGTTTTCTCCTCTAATTTTCTCAAGAAAAAAATCGAATCGGTAGTAAAATTCCTATAGGGTCTATACCCAATTTTTCCTGAATCTGGTTTATGTATAGCATGGCAAGCTTTTTTAAATATGATATCGGTTGGGTTTAAGAATTTGGAATACAGCTCTGAACTGCAAGGAAAATACAAATTATGAATGTATTCTATTCGCATACGTATTTTTCATTAGTTTCATTTCAATTTTGGCAAAATTTTATTTATGAATGCCTAAAATTTTCAATTTTAAAATTATAATTACAACTTTAACCAGGTTTTTCTTGAAACCAAAGACATTCATTTTCATTATAGTAATACTACGACCAGCCTACTACGACCAGCCTGATATGAGAATCCTATATTTAATTCAAATTCGAGTGAAGCATATACTCGAGTGGCTTCTCTGCAACTCCAAAAATAATTTAGTCATATCTTAATTACAGTAAGCCGCACATGTACTTCTATAAGTGATTAGTAATTTCCTATAAGTGATTACTATTCCGACAAAATTTGTTTGTGATTGTAGAAGTGTATATACAATAATTGACATACATAGCCAACAATATTGTACAGGCGTAACAACTCGGAAGTTGTTACGCCTGTACAATATTCAAATTTTAACAAGAGGAGCTTGGTATAGTGGCCCACTTTCATGAAAAATTTTGTTTGATTATGGGCCGCTATTATGAAATATTTTTGTTGTAGTTATATAAGTTCTTAATGGCCATAGCACTTAAAAAATTTCAAGGGCTTTATAATATTCCAATTCTACTAACCCGAGTGAAGTACTCTATTACTCTTGTACTCATTACTCTTCATATAGCTCTTAAGAAAAATTTATACGGGTACCCCAGAGTCTACACAGTAATCCCTACCTTTCCTCGTTTTCTTTAGGAATGATTTGATTGGAAAATTTTGTACAATTCGTTTACCTTTTGCAATATGAATTTTTTTTTTAGAAAAACCTTAATAAAAGAAATTTCGCTAAAATTATGATTGCATTTTATTTAAATAGTAAAAGAAAAAATTAAAAAAAAAAATTTATGTTTGTTTGTTACTGTCATTTATTGCATTTTATGCAATAATAAAAAATTGCGTGAAAGTTTTTTTTCTGGTGAAGAAAATCATAAGAAATGAGTTTTCAAATGTCTCGCGTAAATTTTGTAATACAACGATCATATCTCATAAAATGTGATTTTTTTGCTGATTTTAATGATTTCCAATAAATCAAAATATTTGTTTTTTATATTGTTAGTATATTATACAATAAACAAATAAATAAATATGTAAATATGCAAGTATCATAGTAAAAAGGTGAGGTTTGATGAAGGAAAAGTTATGCTTTAACACTTTCATTTTTGAATGGTAAATTTATTATAAAAAATAATCATAATAGTGAAGAGTCAATCAACAAAAACAAAATTATTGTAATTAAATGCAATTTGTATAAAAGGTTAATGAATATTTATAAAAAAATATTAAAGGTATTTGTGTTTTCAAAATAGGGAATTAAAATGTTCAAATTTCTGCACTTTAAATTTTCTTTAAGAAAATTTTGATTCAGAAAGTGATGATAATGGTATTTGACTTGCCTCAGAACCTAATGTTAATCTCACGTATTGCAAATGATCAACGAAATTAGTTTGTAAATTAAATATTTGCGTATAACAGAAAAAACACACTATTTCAGGCGCTTGTTGTAAATTTTCTCTAATTTATTTCAATTACTCCCGAACCATATCAGATAAAAAGATAATTGGCATACCAATTTAAAATTCAGTTAACGTGAGTGCTTAAAGGGGTGCTTAAATCGATTTTAAGTTCTTATATTCCAGAATCTGTTCATCTGCGAAAATTGTCTCTATATGAAAGTTTTGCAATCTCATGAAGATCTATACAATAGTATACAGCAATGCACTTAGAAACGAGAAAACCTATACTTCTTATATTTTGCCTTGTTTACATTTTTTTACGCCAGGTAAAAATTAAAGTAGTTCCTTGTTCTTCTTCATTTTCTCTAGAAATCTTCTTTTTAGCTTAATTTCATTCGCATACAAAATATTGAAGGAGCAAATAACCACATTAAGCGAAACTTCGTGTAACTCACCAAGAGTTAATGAGAATTTCGTGCAGTGGGGAGCTTTGAAGCCCTACATAATAGTTATGAGAATTCTATAGACTAAAACTACTTACTACAATTTCGTTAACGGAATGGTTTTTAACATAAATAAAAGGAATGAAGAAAACAATAAAAAAAACTGTCAGAAAAAGGTCGAAACAGAAAAAGGATGCCTTTTCTTATTAAATTTCAAAATAAAATGATAAAAGGAATTTGGAAAGGTTAGAAAAGGTGAATAAAGGCCACCAAAAGGGTCGCAGAAAGATTTTTATGTTTAATAGTATTTGAAAAAGGAACCACAAAATGGTTTATAAAAGGTCAGACAAATTCTGCAAAAATATTTTTTCCTTACAAAATTTAGAAATTTTCAAAGTTAAATTGTTAAAGGAATAAGCGTTGAGAATCTGAATATCATTAGATACAGGGATTAAGAATGAAAGTCCATGTGTCTGTCTGTTGTTTAGTGGAGAAGAAATGGAAAATTCAATAGAAGTTTAAGAAGAGAAGACGTTTTTTTTGTAAATTGGATTCTTAATCTGAAAAAATTACAAATGAAGGGAACCTATACCAATCAATTTTGTTTTAACAATGTAACGATATTTCCATATTAAGGAGGAGGATTCCAGAAGAATTAATAGGGTTCTACAGAATTGCATTTTTGTATTTTATTCATATTTCATAACAAACTGAATGCTCTTAGCAAAAAAATTTTCATATTACAAGCCATTAATCGATTTGTGATGAAAAACTATCGAAATCAAATTTCCTTACGGCGAGTAGAAACTGAATTTTTTTGGAAATTATTGATGAGACTACCCTCTTAGTTTTAAAATAATTTTATTCCATAACTGATAAATTTTATTTTGTTTTTTTTTGTCCTACTTCGCTCCTTTGAGGAACATAGGGCTTGTGCACGATATTGTAGATAACCATAAACTAGTTTCTTATGTCTTTTAGTTTACTAGATAGGTGACGAACCTACCGTAAATTAAATTTACCCTGTAACATATAAAAATTTAATTGGCATTATTTTTAATAAAAGAAGACTCAAGTATACATGTACATTTCAGCAAATATTTAAAATTTCCAACAAAACCCTCTAGATTTCATAATATACCACAATGTCAAATGTTATACATTTTAGCATTAATACTTAAATCTTTCATCATTTTAATTTTCTTCTTTTAAATTATAATTATTTAAAATATATAAAATTAAACTGTTTTTCATCATGAACCCATAACCGTTGTCATACTGTCAAGGAAATTATTATTATTTTTTTTTTATGCCATAATAATTAAGATTATTATTATGAATCCCAAAAGAAACCTCAATGTCAAAGATCTTCTAAAATGCATTTTTCAAGAAAAATCATAAAAAATTTCAAATCTATTTTTAAAACAAAAGTAGATCTGTAAAATGAAATAGCAATAAACTTAGGCTATCATCTTACTAATTTATCTATTTTTTTTTTTTTTTGAAATTAAAATGGTAAACCACAACAGAAAACTTAAAAAATTGTAAAAAAAAAACCGAATCAAATAAGCAAAACAAAATCAAAAAAACTATTTAACGCGCGAGTTCAATGAAAGTGAAAATAAAAAAATTAAAATAAAAAAAAACAATAAAAAGTTTTAATGTTTTGGTGTTTTTTCTCTCCCCGTTTTGTAATCGGTAAATATTAGTTAAGCGATTTAAATAAAGTTTTTATACAATTATGAGTTTTTTTTATAAAATTAGTCTTTAATTTCAAATTTCATATAACTTTTATAATGTTGAAGTAAATAATTTGAAAGTAATGAAAATTGTTATTCAAATATTTTGGTTAGATGAGATTTTGGAAAAAATTGCATATTTACAGGCGACTTTTTTTACAAATAATGGTACGCCTTAAGCCTTAAAAGGTAGTTAACACCTAAACAGAGGCTTGGTTCAAAAATATATCAATTCCATTTTATTTTACATTACAGAAATGGAGGAAAAATTAGTTAAAACTTGAATAAACAACAAAACACGAAGAGTTTTCAATATAACAAGATCTTTTGTTTTAAAAAAATGGGAGTTTTTTGACAACTTTTTCACATGACAAGACGATAGATTTTTAATTCGCATAATTTCAGGAGGATTATAAGAAAAAAAATGAAATATTGACGGACATTAGCAGAAGAAGAGCGGAAAAGAGGAAATGCCAAGGAAATATTCATTTATAACCAAGAATATAATAACATATGAAATATGCACAGTTTTGTAGCTTACTATTGTTTTTATATTGAAATTCGAAGAATTTTCAATGAAATTTATGAATTTATTTTCAAATTAAAATAAAGAATAACATATGTGTGACGTGTGTATATATTAAGTTTTAAGAACCAATATTATTTCTCAAATTCTTTTCGAAAATAAGACATAATCAATTTAATTAAATATAATATAAAATTATATTGTATATCTCCAACGGTGTAACGAAAATATACAAAAATAATGCAACAATAATCTCTTACTCTTGGTCCATAAAAACTTAAAAATTAAATGTGATTTTCGGTTATCTGACGATAGATGGCAATTTTAATTTTCTATAAATAGGGTAATTCTGTTCATAGTCCTTATAGTGAAATTCGGGAAATTTATTTAATTGTCGTATTCTAATGTCGAGAGATTTTCATTTGCCAATCACGGTCTCCTAACTATAAGTAATATAAATAAAAATACATATAATATTTTCCTTTCTCTTCTTATATTTGTTATAAATTATGTTCATTTTTATGCTCAGCCTGAAACAAGTGACATATATAATACAAAAGTCTTATTCAACGTCTCCATATACAGTTCAAGACAATGTCACAAATTCAATATTGTTTAAAATCATTGTTTGACATTTCAGATTTAATTTGTTGAATAACATAAACAAAAGGGATGCCATCAGTCTTAAAAATGTTATAAACTTCTAAGTATTATTTCAGAAAGAGCTTCGGTATACCCTTACTAAGAAGAAGCAAATGATTTAATAAATTTCGATTTGTTCAACAAAATGAAATTAAATATTTTTTAACATTTTTTCTGCAAAAATATTTTAATACGATAATTAGGTATGCGTAGAAGATCATATATGTATATACGAGTATATACATTTCTTCATTTATTTCCCATTTCAAATTCCACCAATGGCCATTAGTGGAATTTTCTTCAACATTTTCTGGTACGAGTATAATAATCGCGGCAATCATTTTCTTATTGTGTTTTTTTGTTTGTGCGTTTTTGTTTACGTTTTATAATCATTTGAATTTTTAATGTGTTTAAATTCAACACTTTCCTTATTTAGTATATTTTTAAAATGTTATTATTTAATATTTTATATTTGAAAAAGAAAAAAAAAAATTAAGATGAAGATGAAGAGAGCAGAAAGAAAAAAGCAATATAGGAAATACTTTTTTGTTTTATTATGCATATTTAAAGTTTACGTAAAAAAAAAAAACACAAATTTTTTGTTTTTATTTAACACCCATAAAATTGTACCACATTTGGTATATTAATATTACATGTGGTGTAAATGAACGCTTAATTCATTTAATGCTTGTATAACACAAAAAAAAAAGACGAAGAAGATTTATTTTACGCTTATGTCATATTAAATAAATTTTTTTTTATATTCTAACAAAGTTTTTTTATGTATTTCTCTGTAAAATACTATAATGTCAAAAATAAGCGATTTATTATGGTAAATAATTTTTTGTTTTTTGATCTTTGAGTAAAAGTTAATTTTAAATTAAAAGAAATATGCGAATGCATCATGCAATACAATGGAATTTTGAAAAAAATGTGAAAGTATTTTTTAAATATTGGCATATACTTACTGTTGTTAATAAGCATCGACTCTCTCTAATTGCTCCACAATATCCCAAGAAACTTAAAATGAACATTATAGCTCCACAAATAATTAAAACATACGCTAATTGTTCTATAACAGCTGGTTGCGTAAATTGCTGTAATTACAAAAAAAAAATATATATTTATATTGTTAGAAAAATATTAAAAATTTGGTGAAATATTTTGAAATTTTGATAAAGAGAAATATTATTGGCAATGCAATCAACTAATCGGCAACTCTAATATATCGCAACCCTAACGATCAATATACAAGTATGAACAACACAAAAATAAGCACAAAGCCACCTTAGCAAATTTTTGCACCATGGAGAAAATATCACACATATCAGAACAGAAATGAAAATACATGCTCTTATATGGAGAAAAAACAACAAAAACAAAAAAAATTTAATTGGGTTCTTCTTAAATTCACTCTTTCTTGCGAATTCTCTCACCACTCTCGCGCTCCTTTGTAATGTAACAATAGATACTTGCCGTGTGCCTATAACTTTGTAAGATAACGAGCGACGCAACACTTTGTAAAACAAGGCACGATTGTGTAGTTATATAAGTCGCTTTATTAACGATGTGTACCATCTCTTTAAACAGTCGTGCCCGCAATTCACATGCGTATTTTCCTATAATCTTTAATCATCGTTTTCCAATGACGAACAAATATATAAATTGTAAAAAATTGTCATAATTATGACAATTACTGTTACTTTCTCCTATTCTATTAGTAACAGAATTATAGTTACGATAATGTTATTTTCTTGTAACTCTATTAGTAAAGCACCCGCCTGGAAAACGGAAGGCCCGCATAGAAAATGATAGGTTTGAGTATAGTATTTTTTTCTGTCTTGACTCTACTCTCCTTCGGTTAACATTATTCGTACAACTGCTTTCCAGTTGTACGAAGAAAATTTCCTTAATTTTTTTCCATTTAGTTCTCTTTGTCCACTTAATACGAACTTATCGCTAAAACTAAAGTTTCGGATCCCACCATGTGCCATGTAATGTCATGATTGTGAATCAACTATCTTATCTACTATGATGAACTTTTCCCACACCAATAATTCTTAAATTTTTCTGACCTTACGGTTAAACATTAATTTTAAATTTTTTTAAAGTTTATTAACCTTCTAACCCAAAAACAAAATTGGTGCTAATATTCTTATATTATTAATCCTTTTTCTCATACATAATGCTTACATATAGGCCAATTTATTTAAAATTTTATATACAAAAACAAATAAATTTTATACTGGAACAAAACAATCAAAATTGCGACAGATAATGGTCAGTGACTTTCATTAGAATTTTAAAACATGTGTTAATTATCACACCGAATGAAAAACAAAGAAATTAAATTTATCATATGTCTATAAAAGTGTTTAAAAGCACCTATATATACACTGTATGGTTAATCAGAACACGCGATCAAAAAACCATAACATAAACTTTTTTTATACACAATTTAATTCTTAAATAGGTAATGGTGTACAAGTGTAAAAGTATAACACTTAAAATCCACCTTAACTAAAATAATTATACGAAAATATATGAACGACTTATCATTTCCTATTAAAAACACACCTCTTTTGTGTCTGTACCACAAATTATTATTTACAGAAAAAATAAAAGTATCTAGAATAATTAATAAAAATGCTATAAGAATTAAAGTAATTTAGAAATAAATAGGAAAATTTGGATGACTCATTAGGCATTTAGTGAATTATTTTGAAAATTAATTTTAAAAATTTTTGTTATATTATAATAATAATCCTTGTTTTGAAGTGATTAATGATGCGGGCCAGCAAGTACTTACAAATTCTAGTTATACTATGTACATACATGTATAAGTATGAATGCCTAAATTATATTTGAGAATAATTTTGGGTATTTTTTCTTTGTTATTATTATTCCAATTTCCCGAAAATAATGAATTAACACTATTTCTCTCTTGTACCTTTATACACAATTTATTAATGCAATTAATAAATTTTTTTGATTTTAAATATAGGTTAATGTACCATACCATAATTACTTACAATATAAAATACATAATGTTATACAATCTAATTACATAAGCACCTGTATTATGTAAAAACAAGCTAACATAATTATATAGAGTTTAATTATAGTATTTAATTAGTTTAGAGTAGTTTACTCTCAAACTTTTTCTGTTATTTAAGGTAACATGTAAACTTTTCCAGCTTTCATACATATTACATATGTAATAAAATGTAATTTTTTATACATTTATAGAAAATAATTAAAAAAGTAAGTGAAAATTTATTTAATTTAATTATAACTGTATTTTAAACGATAATAAACTAAACTGTATAACAATAACTTAGTACATAACCAAATAAATTTAATAAAAACTGTACTATGAACAGTTACTAAACCATATATCTAACAATAATATAAGAATATAACAATTAAAATATTTGATAATAAAATATTAAATTATATCTGTACTACAGATGATACTAAACTGTATAACAATAATAGAATATAATTAGTAATACAATAAAAATATATAAAATAAAAAAAAATATTAAATCACTTTAATAATAAAAACAACAGTATAACAATAAATCTCATATTGTTCTTATATTAAAAATACTTTCTTATATTAAGAATTCTTATTATATATCTCTACTTCAAAAACCCATAAATTCGAAATCTGAAAATATGACTGTAAGATACTTATTTTTTTTTTGAATCAATTCAAACTGTTATACATTTTTACCCGAAGAAGATGACATTTATTAATTGGAATTTTCACTAGAATATGAATTGTTAAACCGTTTTTAGTCTAAAATGAAGCCTAATATGTGAAGATTTTTGATATATTTTTACTATTATACTTCAATTCAATTTTATTTTAGAAACGGTTATACATCACCATATATATTCAATCTTTTTCATTACAAATCCATTTGCATCTCAAATGCATTCCTCAATTTTTTTTATAACTCACATGAATATTTATATCACAATATATGTATAACACTTATAATCTCACATGAAATTATATAACAATATATGTATAACACTTTGGGAATCATTGAATTATTTAATATCATTTAGGATACTTGATATATAAAAAATAAAAACTGTTATAAAAATGATTTCATAAATTACAATTTATTTCCGGTTCCTTTAACAAATTTCTATAGTAAAATATAAAGGATATTTTCATACATGCATATACACATACATTCTTATAACTACGATAATTTGGTAATTTATTATGTGTATATAAGTTAAATAAATAGTTTAACAACTCTATACGTAAATGAGTGCCATAAGAAAATATGTTTAAAATTTAACATAATTATATTCAAGTTGACTTCCCCTTCAATTATAATATAGTTCTGGTTTTTGAAAAGAGGGGTCGTTTTGGTGGAGACTTTGTTCTTGAAAATTATTCTGCCTATATAGTTTTCTACAATTTCCTCTATTTTGGAAATATTTTTCACATTTATAACATTTAAAGTTTTTCCATCAACACCCTTTATTTTTCGACTATATTTTCATTTCATTATGAAAATTTTCCATCATTGTTAATTCACATTCATAATAATATAAAAGCTATACATTCTGTTGTTAGTAGCTATTGTAAATTTACATTATTACAACAAAAACAACAAAAAAGTATGTAAATAAACAGAAAAAGAATTATTCTTGGTGCGGTCATTGAACTTTTCATTGGCTTCATTCATTAAAAATAAGAACACAAAAATACTCTCAACTTTTTGTGTTTTCATTATTTTTATTTTTCTATTTATTTAATTCACTATTTATTATTGTAAGTTTTATTCATTTATATTTACAATTTGTTTATATACGCACATACTTATAGATACATGCAAACACAATAATATTGAATAAATTTTATTTTATTTTCCAAGTAAATTTCTATTGTATTTAGAAAGTCGCCCGCCAAAAAACAAATAATTTCCTTTTTTTTTTTTGATTAAAAGTTTTTTCAACAATTTCAACAAGTTTTCCCTCCTTACATGGTTTCTATAATTTAAGTATAAAGGTTTATAAATTATGTGGGTATGACAATTAAAAATAATGTCATACCGATGTCATACCAAAAATATTATTTACAAATTTTATTAAATTATTCGATAAAAGTTATACACAAGAGCAATCTTAAAAGCTGATATAACAGAAGTTGATAGCGGAATACAGAACAGGTCTGATACAAGTATTTGTTTTTGGGAAATGCTATAAAAATTTAGGTGTAGTTCAATCATATCTAATAAAAAATCTACGGTATCTATAGTATACTAAAACTGTGAGAATTATCAAAAAGGGAAATTTGAGGCAAACAATTTTTCCACCATTTTTACAAAAATTACCTTATACGTGTTATGTGTTAAAAAACGTGTTACTTAATTAAAAACCGAATGTAATTTTTGATCTCAATAAATGTAAATAGTCTATGATTCTGGAGTTTCAAGCAGGAAGCAACATATCTAATAATTTCTAGCAAAGAAATTAACAGAATTAATGAAATCCGTCTGTACATATGAGTGCAGGTTATTAAAATTCTCATATGTATATTTCCAATAAGAAGTTCATCCGTAGCACAGTGATCAGGTTAACACACGGTGCAAGTTTTCTCTTTCTCTCTATCTCCCTCTCAAATATAATATATTTTAAATTCAAAAAAGATCTTCTCAATATTTTAAATTTAATTTACGAAGAAATCTCAAAAATATCGCACAATTAGACAGGGGGTCTAATATGTAGGTTAAAAAGCATTCTATCAGAATTCAATATTCGTATGTACATTAAATAAGTCTTCTGGAAAACTTGTAATTTAAAAATGTACATGTTTTCATTTATACAAATATATGTATATATATATATATATATACGTCTTCATAATAGCGTTCTAATTTAATCGATCCAATATTATTCTCTAAAATTCTTGTACGAGTATATTTAAGGGAAAATAGAAATTTTAAGGGTTTTCTATTGAGAATTTTACATAATATTATTAAAATTCATGCAATGTTCTCTCCTTCTAAATTTACAATTACATTATGTAATGCAATTGTGCTTTATATATATATACATAATATGATAT